CGGGAAGCCGGCGGCGGCCGCGCCGTTCCCGTAGAGCAGGGCGGCGGCAGCGGCGGCGGCGGCGGCGGCGTGGCGGCCGCTCACCTCGGGCGCGAAGTGACAGTCGTAGTACGGGGGATTGATGGGCTCCCCCGCCGCCGCCGCCGCAGCCGCCGCCGCCGCCGCCTTGTACTTGGAGTACAGCGGGTTGACAAAGTAGGAGCTCATCGGGGAGGGGGCAGCGGCGGGCGGGGGCGCGGGCGCGGGCACGGGGCGCTGCTCCCGCCGCCGCCGCCGCCGCCGCCGCCGGTGCCTCTACGCCGCGCTCATGCCGCCGCCGCTCGCCTGTGCTCTCCCCGCTCCTGCTCTCCGTGTATGTGGTGACCAGGACTGGAATATAATCGCTCCCAAAATGACCTGCCTCACTGCTTTTACTATTTCCTATTAGGCACACAGCAGCCCGCGCACGCACACGCGCGCACACACACACACACACACACACACGCTCATGAGCTCAGGGGGGACTTTTGGCTTCAGTTTACATGTGCCGCTCCTCAGGCAAGAAAAAAACCCGGCCCAGCCCTGCCCGGATCCACCCCAGCCGCCGCGCCCCCGCTCCCCCCCGCCGGTGCGCGCTCGCCAGGAGCCGCCGAAACCCCCGTCGCGCAGGGGCGAGGCGGCCGCGCAGATCCCGCGCGATAACCGCGGGCGCGCTGCCCGGGGCTCGGGGCCGCGGCTGAGCACTGCGGCGGGGGCCTGCTCCGCCGGCCGGGGAGGGCAGAGCCCCGCCGAGGCAGCCGCTGCCCGGTGCAGGGAGCCGGGGGTGTCGGCGAGGGCAGCTGGGGGGGTCCGAAGGGCGGCAGCGTGCAGCGGCCGAGCCCCGGTGCCAGCGGGCCCTCCGGGGCATTTCCTTGCAGGCGAGCAGAACGCTGGGAAATGAGATGCACATTTACCCTTGACGCCGTGCACGCATGGCTGAGGCTCCAGGTTAATTGATACTTAATGGAAATCATGCCTATGAATATACTTTCCATCATTTCACTCTTGGTGGACGTCATTACCGAGGCAGAAAGAGGGAGGAAAAAAAAATAGTAAAAAAAAATGTGTGGGTGAACGGTTAGCACCGCTCGGGGACGCGGTCCGAAATAAGCGAGCCCTGTTCTCCGGGAGGAAGGAAGGAAGGCGCTGCCCGGCAGGCCCGGCGCTGCCCCGGCTCCTCGGCCAGCCGCCCCCCGCGGGGGGAGCGCGGCCCGGCCGCCTGCGCGGAGGGAGCGCTCCCCGCACTCCGAGAAGCGCCGTCTCCAGTCCTCTCGTCCCTGCTTCGTCCTGCAGTGGGAACCGGCTTTTCGGACAGACACACCGAGGAGCTCGAGTCCGCCCTATTCTGAAGAGAGACGAAAAATGTAGGTGAAATATAATACGGGCCCCGCCAGAGCCACGTGTGACCGTCTGGTGTGAATTGACAAAAAATACTTGTGGTTACATAAAAGGCATCGCAGGCTCCTTCTCCATCACACGGCGCTCCCCCTCGCCCCCCTTCCGCCACCCCCTCCTCTCAAATACCAATTAACCCGCTCTGTCCAGGTGAGCAGCGCGGCTGCCCCGCACACGAGCGCCCCGGGCACACGCCATTGGGGAGCCGGCGGGACGCCCAGGGACCCCCGCGCAGCCCGGGGGTAGGCGTGGGGGTGGGAAAGGCCCGGGGGAGGCACACGGGTTTTTGGTAGACAGGGACAGACGGCAGCAAAAGCCCCTGGCAAGAGAGCAGCGGGAAGGTAGGAGGCCAGGCGGGGCGGGTGGGGGGGGTGCGGCGACAGAGAAACACCGCCTCACCCTGCGGAGGGGCGCGGAGGGGCAGCGGCTGCTTCCCGCATCCGCGCCAGTGCAGCACCACCCCCCCGCCCCTCCCCATCCTCATCCCGCCGGGGCGCCTGTCCCACAGGCCAGCACCGCCACCCGCGTGGGGCTGCGGCGCCAGCGGTTCCGCGCGGCCAGGGGCGCGGAGCGGGGCGCGGGGCGCGGAGCGGGGCGCGGCGGCGGCGCTAGGGTGGAGCGCGGGCGCCCTCTGGCGGCGCGCGGCGGCGGCAGCAGGCAGCGCCCTCCCGCCCCGCGCTGCGCGCGCGGCCCGCGGGCCCGCCGCCCCCTCGGCGGTTCCGCCAGAAGCTCCGCACGGCTCCGCCGGGGCGCTCCGTGGTGAGCGGCTCTTCCTTTGCTTTCTGGGTTTGGGTGGGTTTTCTTCCTTTATCTTTCTTTTTTTTCCTTTTTTTTTTTTTTTTTTTTCCTTTGGTCGGTCGGAGTTTACAGTGCCATTTTCTTCGCACATTTCGGTGACCCTCTTTTTTTTTTTTGCCAGTGCTATAATTAACTGCATACAAAGAATGCGCCTCGTTTACACATGGCAGCCAGGAAAGACGCCTGAGCTTTGAAGAGAGCTGCTATCGCGTTTTCGATCATGTTTCCCCACATATTACACCAAGAATTCTCCATGTGTGGTAGTCTCAGAGTTATACGTTTTTGTCTTGAACATGTTATTTTGTTTGCCCATGCATTTATGTATTTATGGATTGATTTATGTAAACGAAAGTAAAGATGAATCTTTGTTCACCTCCCCCATTCATCACACATGCCTGTGAATTATTCGGTATAATGCGTGTGCGTGTGCACGCGACTGTGCATATGTACAAACATATATTAACACAACCAACGGGTAGGAATTAAATTATTGTTCAGTTTGACACTAAAGTAATTTCCATGGAAGAACTGCATTTCGTCTTTCGAGACATTTGGTTTTCTTTCTGCCATTTTGAAATAAACGCACACAACATTAGAAATAGGTAAACAAAGGGGACAAAAAAAAAAAAAAAAAAAAAAACAAGATAAAAATCTGTCAATCTGCCTGAAATAAAATATTAAAAAGAGCTTGTGTGGGCTGGGTGACAATTTCTTACCAGAGCCTCTCCTGGAATCAACATAATAGAGTGTTTGGCAAGAATATTGTTGCCTTGTTGATAGTTATACATTACCCCCCCTCCATGGTTATTTTCGAAAATACGGAAGCTAACATCGTGAAATTCATCGCAGTAGAATATTAATTAAAATGCATTTCAACAAATCAGTGCACTTTGTAAAATCTCTCAGTTTCGTGACCTTCGGGTCTTTTTTGAATCTGTTGCCTTGGCCCAACGGTGACATATTGAAATTTATAGTCCAAGATTTTAAGACCTGGTTTGTCTGCATTTTTTGGGTTTTTTTTCCTCTCTAACAAACACAAACATCAAAATAAGGTGGTTTCAAAGAAAAGCGCCATAGCATATCGTAAACTCATTAGGTCCAGACGTCTAGCCATCTCAATGGTTTTATTATACCACGGTTCTTCCTGTTTTAAAAGAATTATAGGTATCTTCTCGACAATGGATGGGAAGCAATGCAACACCTTTTCCTGGCACTGCATGCTTTTGCCTTTTTTTTTTTTTTTTTTTTTAACAGAGGTAAAAAACATTAAACACCAGGTCTCTCAGCTCTCCCCCTAATCTTGAATTAACCGAACTGCTCGTAAATATTTACGGGTCCTTCATTTTAATGGTTGCTCTTTAAACAAAGCATTTTTTACAATGAACTTCATCTCAATTATCTTGATAAAGTCATGTGTGTTTATAAATGCAGAAGGCATGAGACGCGTTGTTAAATGAGCCAACAAAGCCGAAGATTTGGAAGCAGCCTTGTCCCCCCAGAGCTTCCCAACCTTCAGATTACAGAGCCCAGAGGTTAGAAAAGACACCCTCCACCCCCCCCCCAAAAAAAAAAAAAAAACAAAAAAACAAAAAACACCAACAAAAATAAAAGAAAAAGGTTTAAGTGAATAGACATCGTTTTGCTCCATTGGCTCTGGAGGGTCAGGGGGGAAATATTTCCTAAATTATCCCAAGAGATTGCTGATGTTGCAAAGACAAAAGCACTCAGGGCGCTCGGGAGCTGCGGGGCAGCAGCGCACCTACACTGCGCGGCCGCGGCCGGCCTCTCGCCACTGACCTCCAGCAGCAGATGTCGGGGGGTTTTTTCGGGGGGGGGGGGGGGGGATGATTTTTCTCCGGCCTTTGTGGCTGCCAGAGGTGCTGCTGGCCCGGCATCGCGGCCGGGCTTTCCCTCGGCCCGCGGCATGCTCCGCGGGGGCTCCGCGGGGGCTGCGCGGTGGGGTCGGCGGCGCAGAGGGCATCGCGAGGGACGCACAGATTTCTCCTCTCACCGCAGCGCTGTCGTTCGGTCACGGCAGACTTTATTGTGTAATAACTGACAACAATTACAACAGGTCCGTAGTTCGAGACACGGGGTGGTTAATTAATACAACAGTCACCGGGGGCAGGGACGCCAGCTAGCCGGGGGACCGGGAGACGTTAGGCCTATTGCGAACGGCTTCAAGGATGAGACAACCTCCTAATAGTGCACTAAAGGGGGGGAATAGCTCGTGGCCTCGCTGTGGCATCTATTGCGAAGGAGCGAAATTCAGACCTAGAAAGCAGAGGTTTTGGGTAAGGTTTCCTCTTAGTAAATCGTGGACAACACAGCACCCCCACTGATTTAAGCAACTGTAATTTAATGTATATTTTATTATCGTAATTGTAATTAATTTCCTTACCTTAATTTTGGCAAAGTAACTACCTAGACTACATCACTTTTAAGAAACATGTCAAACATTTAACATCAGATAGAGTTCCCAAAGCTAACGTGCACTCACAATATCACCAACCAAACGGTCTGGGAAGGAGGAGGGGGGGATGAAGCGACTCTGCAAAACACGTTGGCGAGCAAGACAAAATTTCCCAAAATACCTGACATAGACCACGTTTCACTTCTATCTAAAAAAAAAAAAAAAAAAAAAAAAAGACCAGATTGATTTAAAGGTCCTGGGGTGGGGGGCACGGGAGAAGGAGGAGAAACGTATGGGGACTGAGGGGGCAGAGGAAGAATAAAATCAAGCCAACCAAAAAAAAAAAAAAAAAAAAAAAAGCCAGAAAAACAACAAACCAAACCAGACCAAAAACCCAACAACCAAAAACCCAAACCCAAAACAAAACCCAAAAGCCCCAAACTCAAAACTAAAACAATATCCCCCAACTGCTTTTCTACCCCAGCGTTAGTCTCCTTTATTGCCTTTCTCCTTGTTCATCTTTTTCATTTTCATTCTTCTGTTCTGAAACCAGATTTTGACCTGTCTCTCTGTGAGATTTAAAATCCTAGCTACTTCGTAACGGCGGTCTCGGGTGAGGTACATGTTAAAGAGGAATTCCTTTTCCAGTTCCAGAGTTTGATACTTTGTGTAGGGACAACGCTTTTTCCTCGTTGAACGAGCGTGGATCCAGTTTGCTGCAGGGTTATCTAGAAGAAGGGAGGTATATAGGGAACGGGGGGCGGGGGGGAGAGAAAGGTCGTTAAATTAATTTAACGAAGGATGGACTGTTTTCACAACTTTGGAGGAATTATCATAAAAGCCTTAATGCCCCAGTCTGTTTACTGTACAAATGATGTCTTGATGGTAGGTGGTTATGTGGAGTCTTTTATGGGTGCTTGTTGCTGCTTGCGCTGGGGTAGGCGTCTAGACGTTTTTATAGGTTAGTAAAACTATCAGTTTTGCACATTCGAGCCTTACAGGTTTCGGCAATAAATCAAAGGGGCAATTTCTTTCTTTCTTTCTTCTTTCTTTCTTTCTTTCTTTCTCTCCCTCTCTCTCTGCCCCTCTCTCTGCCTCTCTCCCTCTCTCTCTCCCCCCCTTTTTTTTTTTTTTTTTTTTTTTTTTTTTTTACTTACTTGGGTCAAGTTGCTGCTGTTTCTCCTCCTTCAGATCGCTGCTCGGGCTGGGGTTGTGGCTGCAGGCGGCGGGGTCCTTGGAGCTGCCGGCAGCCGCCTTCTCCCGGGGCTCCTGGAGGAAGGAGCTGCACGTGTACTCGGGCACACCGATCCCCTGGGACTCCCGGGACGAGGAGCACTCAGTCCTTTTGGAGGAGGAGGAGGAGGAGGAGGAAGACGAGGAGGCGGCTGCTCCCGTCTCCGGCTTTATCCCGTAGTGGCGCCCGTTGGAGGAGCCGGAGCTGGACGCGGAGCCGCCGCTGCCGCCGCCGCCGCCGCCGCCGCCGCCCGGGAAGCCCGGGAAGGGCTCGATCCAGGAGCGCACGTAGCGGCCGGCGTCGGCTGCCCCTAAGTGGGGCTGGTGCATGTAGGGGTGGTAGATCCCGGTCATTGCCGCAGACGGCTGAGGGTGAACCGTGGACCAGGAGGTGGAGAACACGGTGGATTTTGGTGCAAAGCTACAGGAGGAAAAATCTGAACTCTCTGCAACACCTGATGGCCTGGAGGTCGCACTGTGACCTCCCTGGACGAATCTACTCCCGTAAACTTCTTCGCTTTCATGGCCTATGAGAGAATCGACATAATAGTTACTTATGGTGCCACTAGACGACATTTTAGGCTCCCCTCTTAGTCATATAAAAGGTTACACTGTTAACTGTATATGATACCCTCCCGGAGAACAATCGTAGTATTTTGCAGACTGCAACCCTCAACCATTGGTTGCGGGGCCCACGTGATCATATTTACCAATACTGCGAGTAAATCAATCCGCTAAACTGGGGCTGCTGTGATTAAAAAAAAAATCATCATCAACAACGGCCCCGCACAGCGCGCCGCGCCGGCTGCGCGCCCGGACAGCGCCGGGGCCGCCCGCCCGCCCTGCCCGCCCTGCCCGCCCGCTCGCCCTGCCCGTCCGCTTTGCCCGCCCGCCCGCCCTCCTGCTCGCCCTGCTTGCCCGCCTGCCCTGCCCGCCTTCGCTGCCCGCCTGCCCGCCCTGCCTGCCCGGGGCGCGGCGGGCGTGGCCGCGCTGGCAGCCCACGGCCGCGGCGGGCGCGGACTATTTCTTCACCTCCTTTGGGTGATTTCTGCCATTCATTTCTTAATCAATGAGAGGCAGGGTGTTTAAATAAATCCAACAGCCTTGGCTTGCTAATCACACTCCAAGCTGCTGAGGAAACCCGCTGGGAAAGGGGGATTCTTGCCTGTAAAAACAAACCATCGCAAGCTGGGACTGTAACGACTTCTCATAAAACAGGAAAATGTTACAGTAAAAGCACATTGCGGTACTTCCATATTTCAGAGCATGTGCGGGTATTATTATCCGCTCCCCCCACCCCCGGACAGAAAGTTTCCATGGAAAGGATACACTTTTTAAAAGAGATGCCCATTGTGTTGTTTTTAAAACAGGTGGAAGACCTCTGTAATGATTTTATGCCTTTCAATAAAAATTTTATGAGGTGTATTTGATTATAGATTAATGTGTCCCTAATAAAATGGACGGATGGAAACAGCAAAGACTGTGTCTCCGAGCTCTACTGACGTGTGGCTGAACACATGCTCCTGTATCTGCGAAACTTTGGGGCTACGCAGCTCCAACACAGCCCCCCTTCTGGTGCCCGGCGCGGCCCGGGAGGGGACGCGGGCAAACGCTGCCCGGAGGAGCGGAGGCGGGCGGGCGGGCGCGCTCCGGCCCGCGGGAGGGCGCGGAGCTCCCGCTGCCCCCCGCTCGCCGCCAAGAGCTGCCTCCTCCGCCCCTAGTTCAGGACGAGCCGGGCCGGGCCGCGCTGGCCACGTTCAATGCCTACGTGAGATTTTTGCCCGCTTTGCTTTCTTTTCCTCCCCTCCCCTCTCCTCCCCTCCCTCCCGGCCCGGTTATCCTTCCCCGAGCCAAGCCGTGCCCGGTTAGTACGGAAAACTCGATTACCCACGGTCTTCTGCCCACGCCTGCTCTCCCGAGCGGGGGCCGGTGGCTGTGTCGGGATCTGGAGGAAACGCACAGAGTTAGTGGGACCCGCAGCACAGCCCGCCGGGGCACGGGCAGCGGCGCCGAGCAGGCACTTCCTACCGCGGGCCGTTATGAGGAAGGGACTGAAATTCCTGTTTATTTAATGATTTATTACTCTCTCAGGTTGTTTTCTTCCTTTTTTCTTCTCTCGGGTTTTTTTCCTTCTGGGTTTTTTTTTTTTTTTTTTCCACTTTTTTTTTTGTCATCTCACTTTAGTATTTTCCTTTGCGTTTTCATGATTCTCTTATATTTTTCTCTAGAAGCAAGGTTTGTGGTATGGCGAAGAATTGCCCCTCGCTTCACACAGATATAAATTGATAAAGCAGGCAGGCTAGAGTGAGCCTCCTATTTTATATACGTTAAACACTTAGTATGGAGCCAGCTAATTACTTCCCACTGCTGAAACTTCTTTGGTGATGTAGCGCGTATCTTTAAAGGAAAAGAAAAGACGGTTTAAATGTACGCAATATGCAAAGAGGATTTTTTTTGAGCACCGTTTTGTTGTTTGCTTTCAAAACGAGAGCAAGCACAACATACCTACGTGCTTGCGGCTCCCGCAGCTTCAAAATGATGATTCTTTGATTTGAGGAAAATATATCTCTGCCTTACGAGTAAACGTGCACATGAGAAAGCATTGGCTTAAATTAAATATCAACGAGCAAAAAGAGAGCAAATTTCAACGCCACCAGCTGCAATATAAGCAGTATCAGTGTCACCAAGTCAGACAACATTGGCACTATCTTGCATTTCATTTCTTGATTTAGAAACTGCTTAGGGGAGGAATGGGAGTTGATTGTGAGCAAGCTGGTTTCCCAGCGCAAACAGTAGCCAGGCTATTTTTCCAGTACTGTTTGAAGGTGAAAGTATGCCCAAGTATTTGCACTTCAATTTGGAGTCATGTTCATTTGCAAGCCATTTGCAGTTCTGCTTAGTATTTCTGCTCACACAGGCACTCACCCGCTCTCTCTCATGCACACACGCCCTTCCTCAGCTTCCAGTGCAGAGCCCTACTAATAACATTTTTCAGCTATGTACAGAAAGGGTTAAGAGTCGTGAACTTCATTATCTGGTTGTGTGCTACTAAAATGGAATTGCGCGAAATAAAACGATCTCTGAGCAAACAGAAACGGTGCAGGGTGACAAAAGTAGGTCTGAAGAGGCTGGTGCACTTTTGTAAGCAGCTTGGGAGCGTTTCTGCTCAAAAAAGACAACCTTGCCAGATGTTTGAGGGAATATTTTCCCATCCACCATCTTCTGAAAGCTCTTGAGCTGACCAAGAACCGAACTCACTAACATCTACTTCCACCCAGATTTGCATTGGTACGATAGGGGTTTTTTAAGCGAGTAAAGACAAGAAATCAAAGTCTACACATTGTAAGCACTCAGTGACTGATATTTTTTAGATCAACATACGAACGTCAAATAAAATGACACACATATTGCTGACAGCTTGTAGTAGAAAGATTTTTTTTTATCACTTACCATTTATGAGTTGATTGGATGAGGATGTCCAGTTTAGGTCATAATATTTTACTGCGTTTTTCTTTCTTTTTTTTTTTTTTCCTTTCTCTCTCTCTTTTTTTTTTTTTTTTTTTTTTTTTTTTGCATTCACTTTGTCAGACTGCGAACATCACACAACATTTTATCAATTAATCATCTGTTTACAGGCACAATTATAAATGAATTAGGTTTACATCATTTCCCGCCCCAGTCTCCACCCCACCCCTAAAAAAAAGGAAGGGGGGGGAAAAAAAAGAAAAAGGGGGGAAAGAAAGAAAGAAAACCAGGCAGACACACACAAAGACCAGAAAATGGCAAAGAAGGTACATCATTCCAAAGAGCTGCTGATAGAGAGAGATCAGGAGGCCATCCTGCATCCGTACTTTAAACATTTGTAGAAAACCAAAGGAACCGCAGTAGTTTACAGAGTTTATTGCATTATACATGCGAACAGAACATGCACAAGAAGGACATATTGCTGCTGAACGACTACTATTCCACATATGCACCACAAGGAAATGTCTACAATGGAGAAGAAGGAAATATTCCATTTTACGAAGGACAATCTCTAAGTTCATTTGAGAGGATAGTTACATTATAATGTGCTTCTCTTTCCCCCCGCCCCCGAAGTTTCCCCCCCCCCTTTTTTTCTTAAAGTATTGAATGTACTCAAAACGTTATGGCCCGTGTAACAGCCCCACATAAATACCATTTTGTTAGTAAAAACATGAAAAAGTCACATTGCTTGGATGTTCGACAGTTCCAATAAGTTAAGACCAAATGATAATATTCAATAATAGTTACCCTGCATTACGATGAGAACAAAAATAAATTACACGTGCTAGGTTTTATATATACTCGTCATAGTAATACATATTCACTTGCAGCGCTAAAAGAAGGACGAAGAGTCACATTCTATCAGAAAAACAAAACAAAACAAAACAAAAACAAAACCAAAAACAAAACAAAACTGGAAAATGCCGGGTTTTGCCAGAGTCTCTCCTGCCTTTAGCAAGTGGCGGTGCTGTGCCCATTCCTCACTGGTGCCCCCCCCGGGGTTAGGGTTTAAGAGAAGGTCAGATTAGCGGTCAGTTCCCGGATTCGGTTCTCCCTGCTCATCTTCTTGAGCTTCATTCTGCGGTTTTGAAACCAAATCTTGACCTGCCTGTCAGTGAGGTTTACGCTCTTACTGATCTCTAGACGGCGCTCTCGAGTGAGATACATATTGAATAAGAACTCTTTCTCTAATTCCAGTGTTTGGTGTTTAGTATAAGGACACCTCTTCTTTCTGCCACTCTTTGCAGTTAGCCAATTGCTTGTTGGAGTATCAGACTTGATTTCCTCTATCAAAATCAAAGAAGAAGAAAAAAAAAATCAAAAATACCTCAGGCTGTTAGAGTGTACCCTTGGCCATGACCCCTCCTCTGCAGTGTCTGGCAGATATGGTGGATGTTGGCATGAAACACAGCTGGGGTGAGGTGTGGGCACAGCGAGGGACCTGCTGCCAGGCTGGGCGCCCCGGCCCCGCCGCACGGCACCCTGCCCCTGCCAGAAACGGGCTCTCCAGTTCTCAGCTGGCGTTTAGCATTTCAACAAGATTTGACCTGCCATCAGCCCCATGGCCACATTTTAACGGGTCTAGTCTCGCCATGGCCGCCTCGGGCTTCCACGACACTTGCTACGAAAATATCCCCATTACAAAATACCCTCGCACTGTATTTTAAAGCAGCATCCCCCCATCCATCAGCTGAATTACACAAGCACACCTAGGAGCAGACATAGACGTTTTCGCAGCCAAAAAAGATACAGAAGAAATTAACACCCTCTGCCTCGGATTTTTTTTTTTTTTCTTTCCATTTTCCTTTCAGAATTTTTTTTTCCCCCCACCAGAAAGAAATCTGCCCCACATCAACCTAGACCTGGGCAGTTAAATATAATTGAGATAAAGAGAGTCTCCATGCACACGTATGGTATAAATCGACCTAGAGGTTGCAAAGTACATTTTGCTAGGAGAAAATTTCCCGTTTTGGGATTCTTTGAGACACGCCGTTCGAAAGGAAGGCTTTAGTGCACTTTTAAAGGAAAAATAAATTCAGATTACCACCACCTTTAGCTTTCAAACGCATTTCAAAATACTGTTGCACTTTTGGAGACCAACCCAAGGTTATCTAAAGCACCACATTGAAATATTCCACCTTTGGACCAGGCAGTTAGCGGGCTGCTGTTTTCATTGTGCATTTGTTTCCAACTTTACCCAACCTGGTAGCACCTATTCCTCACCTATTTTAATAGGA